GTACATGATTACCAGATTGTCCAAAATCTAATTTGGGGGAAAAAAAGGGTGGGAAGAGTGATTATGTAAGTCATGTATACATAGCAGCAACTTGCTAATTTCACTAATGACTCACAGACCTCTTGTGAATTAAATATCAATTAGTATATGAATAAATACAAGTGTTAAAAGAATATGACAAGGATGTGATCACACAAATGTGTATCACTATAGACTAAAGGCCCTAGTTAATTAAAATGTTGCCTGCAGCATATTTTAACAGCCTTCTGTGATTACTGCTAATCATAGTCTGAAATCTGTGGCTAGTTCCCATTTTTATCTCAATTGTCAATAAATTTGGGAAAAAATTGCTGAGGCATACGAGCCAAAAATTTCTCTATAATGGAAATGCACAGAGAATCAATAATTTCAACTAAGGAAGGAAATATTACCAAATAGAAGCACTACCTAGAAAGAAGTACAATTTATAAACATTACTTTTTTTTTTTTTGTCATTGCAGATATTTTACTTCTTTTTTTTTATTTCCCTGTGATTTTATTTTATTTTATTTTTTTTACAAATAGTTTATTGTCAAATTAGTTTCTACATAACACTCAGTGTTCATCCCCAAAGTGCCCTCCTCCATGCCCATCCTCCCCTCCCCCCCACATCCATCAGTCCTCAGTTTGTTTCTCAGCATTCAAGAGTCTCTCATGGTTTGCCTCTCTCCCTTTCCCCCACCATTTCCGCCCTTCTTCTCCCCCTTGTTCCTCCGTCAAGTTCCTCCTAATCCTCCTATACGTGCAAACATATGATATTTGTCCTTCTCTGCCTGACTTATTTCTCTCAGCATAACACCCTCAAGGTCCATCCATGTTGCTACACATGGCCAGATTTCATTTAAACATTACTTTTTAAAGTAACATTATATAGCATAAATTCGGCAGCTTAAAATATAATTGCACCTGTTGTGCTGAGCTTATTTAAGTGTTAACTTCCTGAAACTTGATAGCAAATCAATATTGAACTGCTTTAAGATGTGGCACAAATCTTAAATAAATAGGCACAACTAGAGTTCTTGTACCAATAGTCTGCAGGAGGTAACCTATAGGCAGAGGTTGAAAAATGTATCTAATTGAGTGATGAACTAGATAATCAGTCTAAAGGAGAGAGGATGATACATTGGGCAACAACTAAAATGCACAGATTACCACATGTTAATAGGACACCAGCCTACCATTATACCCCCACTGGTAACATGCACAGCAGATGAGCAATGATGGATCTATGTTTTATTTCCTTACGTGTTTTATATCATGACACTCTCTGATATTATTCACCTCAGTAAAACCTATTCTATTTTATTGGCATGGGGATTAATTCATGTTAATTAGACTTCTCTTTATAATACATTCTTTCATTAAATGGTACTCCTTGTTAGAATGTTAGGTCATCATTTCAAAGGAGGAGGAGGAGCACCTGCCTGGCTCAGTTAGTGGAGCATGGAACTCTTGATGCTCTTGATGTCAGGGCCATGAGTTCAAGTCGAACTTACTTTAAAAAGAGAGAGAGAGAGAGAGAGAGAGAGAGAATGGGGGAGCAGCAGCAGCAGACACAAGACTAAAAGAGATGTTTTAGGCAGGTTGTGTCCATGTCTCTTATTCTAACATTTATTAGAAATGGTTTTATATAAGAGTGCCTGGGTAGATTAGTTGGTTGAGCATCCTGCTCTTGATTTTAGAGGAGGACATAATCCTAGGGTTGTGGGATCAAGCCCCACATGGGGCTCCACATTGAGCACGGAGTCTGCTTAAGTTTCTCCCTCCTTCTGTCCCTCTCCTCCATTCATGCACACTCTCCCTCTTTAAAAAAAAAAAAGTTTTATATAACGATAGCTATATATATATATATATATATATATATAGTTATATCTCTTCTGTGTTTTTTATCATTATGATGTTAATTAAAATTTTTAAACTGTGAATGTGCTTCACCAAAAAAAAAAAAAATCCAGATTCTGGAATGATACAAAATACATATGAAGGAGTGGTTAATCTTTATCCTCCTCTTTCCTTATCTCTAACTTCTTTTTTCCTCTTATTTCCTTCCCTTTTTCTGCCACCATTATCATCATCATCTTCATCACCATAGCAGCAAACATTGCTGAGCCCATACTGCCAGACAATTTATACACATTAAGACATTAGAAAACTCTATGAGCCAGCTATTTTATCTACATACCGTAGATCTGGAAACTGACCAAATTCATACACTTGGGGTATTCTAGAGCTGGGTTTCAAGCCCAGACCAGGTGAATCAGGGTTTCCTCTTTTAATCACTTAGACTTATCATTCAGGCTTGCTTTAGAGAATTCGTCACTTTAGGTAAGAGCTCTCAGTCAGATGAATAGTTCCTTCCCTTATGGAAATGGAAGCAGTAATTAATAAAATGTTGGCACACAAATTATCAGATACATATCTACTGAGTCAAACAAAAGGTTGTCAGCAGTGCATACATCTGTCTTGATTCAATTTAAACTAATTTTCCTTTACAGTCTCAAAGTGGATAGGACAATAGATTATTCAGAATCACGCCTACATCTATTTTCTCTCTACTAAGGAAGATAGGTAAATTTGCCCCAACTTAGATTATTTGGGAAAGTACTGAGGAGAGGGACTTAAATACGAGAAATATTTTCTAAAATAATACATTTATCTATATGTATCTTTTTTTCTGTCATCTTTAAATCCACAAAATCAGTCAAACTGACTTACTATGATTGCTGCCTTTGGAGAATAAATAATCTGGAATTGCTTAGAAGGAGCTGCAAGGAAACTTATTCAATAATGCTTTCTGAACGTCGACAATGTGCTATAGTGTACTATAATTTAAGAAAGATTCACAATTAGATTACATGTTTTGAATGTACAGTGATACTTCCAAATTGCTTAAAATCCCTTCTAGTAAATAAGTATTCTGCGACATCCTCAATCATGCTTATACCACTAATTTACTGAACAAATTATTTCTTTGATTCTGATCTCTTCTGAACAATCAAAATTGAAATCAGCAGACACTAAATTACTGGGGCTTTATTACTATGATTAAAATTCTCCTCAGCTTTCTCTTCTGTCTTCTAAATAATTTCAAATCATGTAACCTTTCTTTCTTAAAAGAGGAGGATTCTATTTCCCAACTACTTAATTGCATTAGACAGTTTCCTTTGGATCCTATTCAATTTTCTTTTTGCTCTCTTTAAAGTGGGATGACCCAGCATGGGTGATAAAAGCCCCACAGATGGTGAAGAGGTGACTGCGATGTTAATAACCGTAATAGTTGCAGAAGTGTCAACATGAGCTGAGCACTAAGTGCAGACAAGGGTGAGTGCTGCGTGCGCCTGCTCATGGCATCTTCACAGGACTCTGCAAAGTGTTCAAGCCTCCACAGATGTCTGTTGATGGACACCTTCCTCTCTGAGTGGCTGACCTTTCCTCAGGTCTGTTCATGTTCTCAGCATCTACTTCCTATTTGTAACCTCCGGCAACAGGAAGGGCAGAGAAACCCAAAAAGGAGATTGGTACCTAACGTAGGACTCCAAGGTGAGTGAACCAGAGGTGGGCCCTAGTAACACACAGAGACAGAAGAGAAGGAGAAAGTATTCTGCCTTTGGAAACAAGACTGAAACCCGGAAACCCAGGAAGTACCACCGAGTAGGAGAAAAGGGTACCAATGCACGATGTCTTCAGGAGGAAAGCAACAACATCATCCTGTGAGGCTCACGTGACAGCATGGGAAGGAATACTTCGATCCCTTTTGTTAGTGCCCATATCTGGGAATAAAACTATCCTTAATCCCAGTGGTCCTTGGGAATGCAAAGCTCTTACTGACAAATAACTAGTAACAGTAGGAAGAGGAATAATGATCATCAATGTCATAAATACCATTGAACACTCTTTCAGTCTTTACATGAGAAAGTGTTCAACATTTCAAATTTTTGACATGTCACAGTGAATGAGGTATGTGCTTTATGACTCCCATTTTATAGAGCATACCTGAGGCCTGGAAGGAAAAGAAACAGTGACAGTTAACATACAAGGTTAGTTACATCACTTAATGATAATCCTGATTCATCAGTTATTTTGGCCCAATGAAAGGAATAAAACATTCCATTGCTGACGAGGCAATAGTAACTACCACCGAGGAGAATTCCCAGTTCTGACTTGCTTATGCCAAAAGGACTCAGTCAAGTAGCAGGCAGGGCACGGGAAAATGTGGAACCCCAAACACAACACATGACTCTAGACAGCAGAGTTCACATCTGCTCCCCTCAGGATTTCTCACCAGCATTTGATTTTTTTTTAAAGTTTATTTTGAGAGAAAGACAGAGAGAACATGAGTGTGTGGGGGGCAGAGGGAGAGGGAGAGAACGAACTCCAAACAGGCTTCATGATGTCAGCACGTGGCCTAATGCAGGACTCGACCTCATGAACTCTGAGATCATGACCTGAGCCAAAATCAAGAGTCAGAGGCTTAACTGACTGAGCCACCCAGGCGCCCCACACTAGCACTCTTAACATGAAGCTCCTTATATGTTCCTGGGTTCTGCTTTCCTGCCCATTCTGGGATGAAGACATTAATGAGTCAGCAAACGTTCACACGATGATGACAGGTAGAAGGAAGCTAGAAGGCTCTATTTTATTTATAGACAGGATAATCAGCTCCAGAAAGGGAAGAGAATTTAAAACAGAAATACAAATACTAGCCTCAACTACCAGTTCTATCATATGAAATGTAAATAACAAGAAAGCCTCAAAATGGAAACAATCCAAATGTTCCTTAAAGTGACAGTTAAAAAAGGAAAATGTATTTTTAGGATATGGTGATTTTGTGAGACAAACCAAAGATAAAATATAGTCTTAGAAAATAATAACATCTCCAGAAGAAATCTTAGATTTTATTTATTTTTAAAGATATTTTAATTTTAGAAAACCAGATGTATGTACGTATATATCTATCTTACCTGATGAAAACCAGCTTGACCTTTGATGGGGCAGTCTTAATAATGGCAGATGCATTTTGGTGGCTTCTTCCATACAGGATCTGATTGTTTATCTAATGGGGAAGAAATAAAATGCACTTGTAAAAATGCAATATGCATGTATAATCTGTATAAAAATATACATGTATATATTTATACATTTATACAAATATGTGTATTTACTTGGAATTAAACAATGAAGTCCATTTATTTATTTATTTTTTTCCATGAACACAGGATATTTTTTCATTTATTTGTGTCTTCTTCAATTTCTTTTTTTTTTTTTTTTTCAAATAGTTTATTGTCAAATTAGTTTCTACATAACACTCAGTGCTCATCCCCAAAGTGCCCTCCCTCCATGCCCATCCCCCCCTTCCCCCCACATCCATCAGTCCTCAGTTTTTGTCAGCATTCAAGAGTCTCTCATGGTTTGCCTCTCTCCCTTTCCCCCACCATTTCCGCCCTTCTTCTCCCCCTTGGTCCTCCGTCAAGTTCCTCCTAATCCTCCTATACGTGCAAACATATGGTATTTGTCCTTCTCTGCCTGACTTATTTCGCTCAGCATAACACCCTCAAGGTCCATCCATGTTGCTACACAGAAGTCCATTTATTTTTAAGTGGGTCCATATAGGGCTCCTTAATGCTAAAAAATCTTTTTTTTTTTTTTTTTTTACAAATAGTTTATTGTCAAATTAGTTTCCACATAACACCCAGTGCTCATCCCCACAAGTGCCCTCCTCCATGCCCATCCCCCCGTACACTCCCACATCCATCAGTCCTCAGTTTTCGTCACTTAATGCTAAAAAATCTTAATGTTGTTTGTAGTATGGATTCAAATACTAATTCCAAATAGCTATTAAAATCTTTAAATTGAGTTTTGAATGAAGTTAATCAAGAGCATACAGTCCTTGAACCTTCTGCTAAACCTCGAGAGAGCAATAGTTGAGCTAAATGCAAAAACTTTATGATAGATGTATTTCCTACAGCCTTTCCAGATTTCTAAAAAATGTCGAAAACAGACCAAACTGTGGTGTTCACCAGAGCTCTGGAGGGCCCATTAAACACGATTCTGTAAATGTGTCAAGGTTATTACATAGCACAAATTTTGTTACTCTAGAGGAGATAGATATTATATCCCCATTTTAAATCAAATTTTAGATCAATTGTATGGAAACATTTCACTATACACAATCAGTGAGCCATCTGCTCTTATCCAAGATATGGCGGGGTTTTAACTTGATTGAGTTTGCCTAAATAAGCTCTAAAAACATTGACATTCTAAATTTTTTTACTCCAGATTTTCCCACTGACAACCTATGATGACAGTCATAATCAATCTTTTAGTTGATCCAATTGATAATAGCTCACACAGTTTTGGCTTTTCTCCTCCTCTTAAATAACTAGTTAATGATTTATACTGTGTCAATTTAACGGAGGCCTTGAAATTGTCTATTTAAGAGACAGTACAGTACACTATATAAGGAATAGTAAAAAGGGATTTCTGTTTTTTGTAACTATCATTTGTCTGTCCTTGAGGTCTCTGAAACTTTGTGTTTGAAGATATACCTGGAAAAGGTTTTTGTCATAGCAGTTTTAATTAGAAAGTGCATGGAAATGAACAGAGGATGGGGTTATCTGAAATGGAGCTCATCCATCATCTTGAAGTGGTAAAGTGGGGATGTACATCAAACAAAGCCTGTTGCAGAGACTAAACTGGAACTACCTTCTCACTAGGCCCCTCATTCTGTCAGCTTTTGTTCTTCACCAAGGTAATCAACCTCCCAGAAACCCGCTGACCTCCACACTATTTCCCTATGCCTCAGTTTCCTCTTTTTTAAAAGTAATTTAAGCACCTACTTCATAAAACTGTTGTGAGAATTATAGGAGATAATGCCTTTAAATTTTATTTATAATCATCTTTTTTTGAAGTTTACTTATTTGAGAGAGAGAAAATATGCACATGCGAGTGAGGGGGTAGGGGCAGAGAGACGGGGGCAAAGGGAGAATCCCAAGCAGGCTCTGTGTTACCATGAACTGTGAGATCATGCCCTGAGCTGAAACCAAGAGCCAGATGCTTAACTGACTTTATTTATAATAACCTTAATACACAAAGAATTATTTTGGGAGTGTTCAAAATCACTCATATTTTCTGCCAAGGTTTTTACCTTTTTTAATATCATGTATTTAAAAATGTGTCTATCCTCTGTATGATACTATAATGATGGACACATACCATTACACATTTGTCCAGTTCCACAGAATGTACACCACCAAGAGTGAACCCTAATGCAAACTACGGACTTGGGTGATGATGATGTATTGATGCAGGTGCATCAACTATAGCACAGGCACCACTCTGGAGGGGGGATGTTGGTAATCTATGAGGGACATGTGGGAAATCTATCTTCCTCCTCAATTTTGCTGTCTAAAAAACCATATATGTATATGTCTGTGTGTGTATATATTGAAGTGTCCACCATTTACATTTTTTAATGTTCATTTTTGATGGGGGGGCGGGGAGGGAGAAGGAGAGGAAGTGAGCACAAGTGAGGGAGGAGCAGAGAGAGAGACGTACAAAGAATCTGAAGCAGGCTCCAGGCTCTGAGCTGTCAGCACAGAGTCAGATGTGGGGCTTGAACTCACAAATTGAGAGATCATGACCTGAGCCGAAGTTAGACGCTCACCCAACTGAGCCACCCAGGCGCCCCTGAAGTGCCCACCACTTAAATTATATGTTTTCTCCTAGTGCTTTCGTGGTTTTATTTTTTTAATATTTATATTGTATTACCTAACTTGTTATAAGAGAAAAAAATGGTTAAATCATGAAATGATCAAGTGTCATGTGAAAAAGAATAATGACATAGGAAATGCTCAGATATACTAAACAGTAAAACCTAGTTACAAAATAGTATGTCTGCCATGATCACTTTTTTTTTCAAACCCTATTTCTCGATCTCTCTCATTTGCAATGAACAACAAATAAGGCTCTTTAAATCACAATTGAAAAATGAGATGACATGTAGAATACGCCCAATTCAAAAGTCTGGCATTCAGGTAATTATTCGCAAATGTCTTCCCCACTGTGTCTGGCCTCCACTTTCAGAAAGCAGACCTATCAAATCTTCCTGTCTTCGAATCCTGCGGCACTGGATTTAAAAATGTTCTCTTGTCGCCCTGATGCCTCACCCGACGCGGTACAGTCAGTACTTGTCAGGTGGTAAGCACCAGTGCAGGCGGCGGGCATTTACTGAACTGAGCTCAACTTGCTGAGAGCAGGAACTGTGACCTCCACTTGGTATTCGCACACAGCAGTGCTCAGTGAGAGATACAAAATTGCAGAGCCCTGAATGTAAGTGGTACTTGCATTAATCAACTGCTACCATGCTTTCTCTGAGGTGGGCTCCAGTCTTCAAAGGGGCTGAGATTTTTTTTTTTTTTTTTTAATGTTTATTTCTGAGAGAGAGAGACAGCATGAGCAGGGGAGGGCCAGAGAGAGAGGGAGACATAGAATCTGAAGCAGGCTCCAGGCTGTGAGCTAGCTGTCAGCACAGAGCCCGATGTGGGGCTCGAACCCATGAACTGTGAGATCATGACCTGAACCGAAGTCGGACGCTTAACCGACTGAGCCACCCAGGCGCCCCGAAAGGGGCTGAGATTTTTTTTTTTTCTTTTTAAAGTCTTTTTTAGACTGATGGTTCAGTCAGTCAAGCGTCCAGGCTTAAGTCATGCTCTCACGGTTTGTGGGTTCGAACCCCGTGTCGGGCTCTGTGCTGAAAGCTCAGAGCCTGGAGACTGTCTTTGGATTCTGTGTCTCCCTCTCTCTCTGACCCTCCTCTGCTCACGCTGTCTCTCTCTCTCTCTCTCAAAAATAAAACATTAAAATTTTTTTTAAAAAAGTCTTTTTTATTAGCAAAAGCTTGAACATACAGAAAACTGAGCTGTTTCATGTTTATGGATATGCCTGCTTTTTAGCTGTGATCTTCCTTTTTGATAGGATAAAATGTATGGTACTATTATTCTAAGAGGGAAAAATTACAGCCCAAATGAAGAAAGCAGGTCGTTAATTTTAATTTGTCTGAGAGTAAATCTGCAGTTATGTCTTCATGGTGCTGTTTGTGAATATTCATTCAGAGGCTCTGACTGTAGAAAGGCTGTAGAAAAGCTAGCTTGCTGTGGCTGTTTTTGCCAGTGCCAACAATTGTGCCGTTTACTGTTGTGGTAGCTGCTCCTGGCAGTGCTTGGAGGCCCCTGGGGAAACTTGGCTTTGCAGTGCAAGACCAGGAACAGAATAAGAAACTCAAGACAGAGTGAAATATGATTTAGCAGGATTAAATCAAAAAGGAAAATGCAGATCTATGGATTTAAAAATCTAAGACAAAGTCTCTCTTCTGACTTCAGAAATACGTTAGCAGCCTGTGAGTTCTAAGACAGGAAGATCTCTTTTGTGTTTTCTTAGATCTTATTTAATATAAAACTGCACTATTTAAATGAAAGGCACATATAGCTTCCAACTGCATTAGCAGTTTTTGTATTTCTTCATCACTAAAGGAAACACACTCCAGAGAAAATTCAGTAAGTAATTAGAAAGAATATGATGCATTTTATACACAATTAACTTTAGACTGTCACTTATTCTATTTCTGAGAAGCTGCTGTTCTCTGAGGGCACTATTCTTTAAACAACAGATGTAGGGCATCTTCTAAGTATATCGTAGGCAAAAAAGAAAGCACTCTATACCTCCTGGAAGTCTTTCAGGTCAATTCTAATTAATAACAGCTATCATTTATCAAGTGCTTAGTCTGTACCAAACATTATCCTAAGCTCTTTGGGCACAGCATCTCATTTAAATCTCAGAGCAACTGGGGTATTATGTACTTTCATCAGATGATGAAAGTGGAATTCCAAGAATTTAAGCAATTTGCCCATGGTGATTTAGCGGTTTCTTTAAAATCCCATAATCCTAAAGCACATCTAGAGGTCACATCTGTATGGTGCACATAAAAATCAGATGCTTTTTAAAGTTATCCTTATAAAGATGTCTGCTAAATAAACTGAGTGGGAACAACAGGAAGGC